CGGGGCGGCTTTGCGGGCTCGCGGGCTTGTTTGGGTTGCTAGGGATTGCTGAGGGGCTAGGGTTTGTTGGGGGTTGTTAGGGTTTATTGGGGGTTTTGGGGGGTTGTTGGGGTTTTTTAGGGTTTATTGGGGGTTGTTAGGGTTTACCAGGGTTTGTGGGGTTTTTAGGGGCTTGTTGGAGGTGATTAGGGTTTAGCGTAGGTTTTAAGAGGGCGTGCTAGGGTTTAGGGTCATTTGGGATTCGGCGAATTAGGTTTTGGAGGGGATCTAGGGTTTTGAGGGGCATTAGGGTTTGGAGTGGGAATTAGGGTTTTGGGGAAGAATCAGGGTTTAGATAGGAGAATCAGGGTCTGAGGGAGAACCAGCCTATGAGGGCAAGTTAGGGTTTTGAGGGTTCATTAGGTTTTGGGGGTTCATTAGGGTTTTTTTGGGAACAGGATTTTGAAGGTTCATTAGGGTTTTAATGAGCATCAGGGCTTCGAGGGTTCCTTGTGGTTTTGAGGGTTCCTTGTGGTTTTGGGGATTAATTAGGGTTTTGCGGGTTAATTAGGGTTTAGGGTTTAGGGTTTAGGGTTTGCGGCGTGCAGGCGAACCCGGCGTTGTACGTGTTGCGGGAGCGGATTCGCAAGGGTTTGCAGTTGTACTCTTCGGAGCCCACGGAGCCTTATTTGAATTCGCAAAACTATGGAGAGTTGTTTTCTAATCAAACAGTTTGGTTTATAGATGACACAAATGTCTACAGGGTCACAATTCACAAAACCTTCGAAGGAAACCTCACCACCAAACCCGTCAACGGAGTCATCTTCATCTTCAACCCCCGCACAGGTCCGCCTTCGAGGGTTTGTCAGTGCCTTATTAGGGTTTGTCAGTGCTTTATTAGGTTTTGTCAGTGCTTTATTAGGTTTTGTCAGTGCTTTATTAGGGTTTATCACTGGTTTGTTAGTGTTTATCAGTGGTTTATTAGGGTTTATCAGTGGTTCATTAGGGTTTATCAGTGGTATATAAGGGTTTATTAGGGTTTGAGGGGAGGTAGATTAGTGCCTGGTAGTGAACCCTGGTTTTTTTACCCCTGGTGGAACTGGGTTGGGGGCCCCCCTGGGGCCCCCCGGGGCCCCCGAGTTCGCGTTGTGGCTGTTTTTGGCTGTGTTCCTCGTTTGGGGGCCCCCCCTTGTGACCGCTCGTTGGAAAGCTCTCTTTGTGTTTGAGTTAATGGCATGAATGGCATAAATGGCAAGAATGGCATAAATGGCAAGGATGGCATAAATGGCGTAGGTGTTGTGGTGAGGTGTGGGTTGCAGGTCAGCTGTTTCTGAAGATAATTCACACGTCGGTGTGGGCGGGGCAGAAGCGGCTGACGCAGCTGGCGCGGTGGAAGACTGCGGAAGAAGTGGCTGCGCTGATTCGGTCTTTGCCTGTGGAGGAGCAGCCGAAGCAAATCATTGCAACTCGAAAGGGAATGCTGGACCCCCTGGAAGTGCATTTGCTGGACTTTCCCAACATCGTGATCAAAGGCAGCGAACTCAACCTCCCCTTCCAGGCCCTCATGCGCATTGAGAAGTTCGGCGATATGATCCTCAGAGCGACGCAGCCGGAGATGGTTCTCTTCAACATGTTCGACGACTGGCTCAAGTCCATCTCCGCCTACACCGCCTTCTCCCGCCTCCTGCTGCTCCTCCGCGCGCTCCAAGTACTGCTGCTGCTGCTGCTGCTGCTGCTGCTGCTGCCGCTGCTGCTGCCGCTGCCGCCGCTGCTGCTGCTGGTGCTGGTGCTGGGTGTGGGGCCCGGACGGGTTGGCGAGCTGTGGAGGCGCCGTTCGCGCGCAGCCAGGCTTGTTCTTGCCGCCGCTGCTGCTGGTTCGCGGCGCGCGGGTAACTGCCGCTGCTGCTGCTGCTGCGCTGCTGCTGCGCTGCCGTGGCGCCGGCGCAGGTGAACACGGAGCGCGCGAAGGTGCTGCTGCGTCCGCACAAGTCAGTGGTGACGCAGCCGCACCACATCTGGCCGTCGCTGACGGACGAGGAGTGGATCCACGTGGAGGTGGGCCTGAAGGACCTGATCCTGGGAGACTACGCGAAGAAGAACAACGTGAACGTGGCGTCGCTGACGCAGTCGGAGATCCGGGACATAATCCTGGGGATGGAGATCGCGCCGCCGTCGCTGCAGCGGCAGCAGATCGCGGAGATCGAGGCGCAGGCGCGGGAGCAGCAGCAAGTGACCTCCACCACCACCCGCAGCGTCAACATCCACGGAGAAGAAATGATTGTGGCCACGCAGTCTCCCCACGAACAGCAAGTGTTCAGTTCCAAGACGGACTGGCGCGTGCGCGCGATCTCCGCGGCGTCGTTACACCTCAGGACGCGCCACCTGTACGTGTCTTCGGAGGCGGTGGCGCCCGCGGGGTGTACGTACATCCTGCCGAAGAACCTGCTGAAGAAGTTCATTTCCATCGCGGACCTGCGCACGCAGATCGCCGCCTTCATGTACGGCGCCCCGCCGCCCCCGGACCCCAGCAGCAGCAGCAGCAGCAGCAGCA